AGTTCCTGAGAAAATCAAAAAGTGACTTGAGGCTCCTCACCCACTTCCTGACTGGACACTGCAGGTTACGTAAGCACATCTTCCACATGAAGCTGGCAAATACATCCCTCTGTAAAGGGTGTGAAATTGAAGACGAGACGGTAAGTCATATTGTTTGTGACTGTCCCAACCTCGCATACTTAAGGGAATCCACTTCTGGCGTACCATGACCCCAAATGTAGTATATAAAGAACAGACATACATTCTGTTCTATATTAACGTTCATTAAAACCTTGGGCTTTCTGTGTTGCGAAGAAATTCACCCCCACCTGAAGCTACATACATACACTAGGTGTCTTCATATTTTTTTTTTAATCTTAACTCCTCGCTCATCACTAAGATCACCTGGTAATCACAATCCCAGGTTAGGGAAATAGTCCTTTTCACTCGGAGAAGTAAGTTACTATTAAAAGCACCCTCCATTGAAAGCAGAACTATTAACCTCAAAACAGAAGTTAAATACTTAAGGGTAATACTAGACAGTAAACTAAACTGGAACTCATACTTAAACAAGGTGAGGAAAAGGCCATCATGGCTAACCAGGTCTGCAGCAGGCTCCTAGGAAGGAACTAGGGTAGCAATAATCAGACCCATGGTCGCCTACGCCTCACTGGTTTGGTGGCCAAAAGCAAAACATAAGACAGCACAACAACAGCTGGCACAAATCCAGCGGTTAGCATGTCTTAATATAACGAGTGCAATGAGATCTTATCCGACGGCTGCTCTGGAAGCACTGCTCAGTCTCACACCACTCCATTTATATACAGTTATTTTGGTTTTAAGCTTTTTTTGGTAAATTTCAACATGCTCTTTAAAACTCCATATCTCAGCCAAAGTTCATTCAAAAAAGATCTACTTTGGCACGATTACTCTTCAGATGTTGTCAAATAGATTGTCATTTGTTGTAACGGAGTATCTTATACAGGCTGGTCAAAAATTAAATTACTATTTCTCCATATTCAATAGCGAGAAAGTCGAAAATTTTAAATGGAACGCCCTATATTTTTTTAGCCTATCAGAAAGAGAATTTAATTCTCTACAAATTATATATAAGCATTCCCATACCTATTTATTGTAGTTTGCCTTATATTGCGAAATTTATTAAAACATGCACAAAATTGCAGGCTTTTTTATTAGAAAGCTATGGAATCTTGACAGTTTTCGGTCCATGTTTGTATTATTGTTGCCATGTTTGTTATTGAACACCATGGTAAATTATTCCAACGCCGATATTTGAAATTTGTTAATATTTGCATTGATGGCGAATGTAATAAACTTTCGGACAAGACGTGTCGAACAGTTAATGAGAGATGCCTAACAAACCCAACGCCCATCACAAGGAAAAATACTTTGATACAATACTGATATGACAATCTATTTGAGAGCATCCGAAGAGTAATCGTGCCAATTTAGAGCTTTTTTGAATGAACATTGGCTGGAATATAGGGTTTTAAAGAGCATGGTGAAATTTGCCAAAAAAACCTTAAAATCAAAATAACTCGAAAACGAAAAACATTAGGTATCAATAACTTTTATGAAAGTCAACACATTTTTTTACGTACAATTAAAAGGTGCAATAAAAACTATAGCATTCCATTTAAAATAACGGCGTTATGGTCTACTTCCGGTAGACCGGAAGTGGCAGCCATCTTGAAAATATTTTAGATCGAAAGTTCCGACTGAACAACCCACACTGCCAAAATTTCAAAACTGTACGAATACTGGAACCTAAAAAAGTTCTAACGTACCAGTTACGTGAGACACCTGTATACAAAAGGAGACAGCTTTAAGTGCCTTATCACTGAAAACAGTTTCTTCACTTAAATTGATGCAGGTTAACCTCAGAGGACACCTCGAAATCGCCAAGGACTCATGTCTAAATCACTTGATTGAAATCAAAATGGACCTTATACCGACAGAATACAATTTCAATCAGCCGTATAAGGTCATATTTAGAAGCAAAGATGATTGGTCGAAGGGTGGGGCTCAACTAAAAAGATGAGCCCTAGTCTGGTACACTGATACTTCAAAGACAGTTAGATCGGTGTAGGCATGGGCATCAGTGGACCAAATAGCCACATTAAACTGCCCCTCAGCTCGGACATAACCATTTTTGAAGTAGAAGTACTTGCTATAAACTTATAAAAACCTATAAAAGAGACAAAAAGGTGCATCCATATACATTCTTGCAGACAGTTGGGCTGCCCTAAAGGCAATTCAGGCCTACACGTATGACTCCGCACTGATCAGAGAGTAGTAACCAGAGAGAACTCGCTAGTGGTAATGATGTTACTCTATGGTGGGTTCCAGGTCACAAAGTCATTGAGGGCAATTGAAAGCGGACAAGCTGGCCAAAGAGGTAGCGAATACGCCCTTTATTGGACCTGAATCCGGTTGTGAACTACAAAAAAGCCACCTAAAACAAATAATCAACAGTTGGGAGGCCTGAAAGTTCACAGACAAGTGAAGAGTATGGTAACTCTAATGCGCCCCTAAAATACCATCTCTTCCACATTGGACAATCTGAGGATCAAAGTTGTCGACTTTGCAACGATGAGTCAGAGACAGCTGAATATATACTGTATAATTACGTCGCCAGAGGCCGTCTAAGACACAACATTTTTGGTAAAGCTCTGTTGACACCTACCGACATAAAGGTACAAGACCATGGGGCAATACTAAAGTTCATCAAGGACCTACATTTGCCCTACACTTTTGGAGGGCTAAAGTTACAATAGATCTTATAGGTCGCGGTAACGGGAGGGGCCGCTCCCCTCAGCCCGGGAGCAATAATAATAACAATAATGAGATCATCTTCGTTTAATTCCAAATTTTCAGCACTTAGTTTCACTATAATGTTCGTGATAACCCATTTAGGGGATTGTTACAGTAGTTTTAGTGTCTTAGCTAAGAGCTGGATTTATTCTTTCCAACCTCATCCTCCATCCAACCTCTTCCCCTCCTCGTCCTCCTCCGTTATTAGGTACTTTGGTAGCCCCTCAGCTCCATTTAGCCTTTACCGTAAGTTGCCTTTACTGTCACCTATCATTATAGAGTTTGCTATTTTGCAGTCAAATTTCGACCAATATGATGACACCGTTTTCTCACCAGAGTCTAAGACTGTCAGTTAATGGAAGAGGGTGTCCGAACGGTTGGAGGATGGGTATAATATGCCCAGTGCACAAGAAGACTAGTAAGAACGCAGTGGAGAGCTATAGGGGAATGAGCTACTCGACTCCTCATACTAGATTTATGCGAAGATACAGCTGGGAAGATTGGAGGAGGAGATTGAGATAGTGGGATGTTTCCGGATGGACAAACAGGTTTTAGGAAGGGTAGAGGGGCGATCGATAACGTTTAAATCTTAAAAGCTCTGTTGGATAGAGAGTTGCATAAGAAGGGAGGGAAGTTCTATGCCCTATTCATAGATTTGACGGCGGCATTCGATAAGGTGGATAGGGAGAAGTTGTAGGAAGAGGGTGAAGGTGATATACATCGAAACGACGGCTATAGTTAGAGTAGGGAAAGCGATGAGCGAAGCGTTTTGGACCGGGAGGGGTCGGAGACAGGGGTGTCTACTGAGCCCTAGCCTTTTTGTTCTGTATACAGCGGATTTGGAACACAGTCTGGAGAACGGGCAAATGAGAGGAGTGGTGGTAGGAGGGAGAAATGTTCACGTGCTAGCGTACCGCGGACATGGTGGTTGTGGCGAAGGATGCGGCGGAATTTAGAGGGATGGTGAGATACTTGGAGAGGTATTTCAGGGCGAAGTGTTGGAGGTGAATGTAGCAACGACAAAGATGATGAAGTTCTGCAAAATGGGGAGAAGAAAGAATTCACATATTTGGGGTACAGATTCAGCATGGACACGGTGCATGTGAGATGGCTAAAAGAGCAAATAAGGTGATGGGGCAGGTCTGGGGATGGGGTGAGAGCGTGTTTGGAAGGGACATCAGAGAAGTGGTGTCGGCTGTGCGGAAAGGATTGAGAAACACTAGAACATACACTGAGAGGATGTAGCGAGCTGAGAGAAGAGGAAAGGAACCGAAGGCAGATTCTGGAAGAGGGTGGAGAAGGCTGGGGTTGGATGAGAGAGGTGGTTGGGACGAGGGGAGAGTGGAAAGAATGTGATATGGGAACTTGAATTTGGTTTGGCATATATTGTAAACTTTTAGTTGACAATAAAAACTCTTATATAATGGACAAAGACTTCCAGTATGTAAGGTAAGGTTAGTGACATGCCAGATAGATTGGGAATGGTCGGTTATTGTTACTAAGGTCAATGACCCTCAGATAAAAAATGTTGGACGTTGCAAAACTTATTCTGTCTCACTACAAAGTATGTTGATAGTATAAAAATATACCAAATGTGAACAAGATGCGACATGATTTTTGCAAATATTTTTTTTGTATACTTTAAAATTAGAGATCCTTGGACGCAATTATCATGTTATATTTTTAGCCACACTGGAGTTGGATCTAAATAGACGTTTTAAATGTAAGTTTTGTGAACAAAACTGGAAAAACACCAGAGTAGTTATGAAATAGTTGATATGTTGCTTTTCTGAGGCAATAAATGAGGACTTTTAGACTTCTTCTTAATGTAAAAAAAATGACCTTAATTTACAATAACTTTCTCGAGAGATGTTATCCACTTTATAATGGAGAGAAAGATCAACGTCAGAGTTGGTAACATCAGAGTAAATGTGGAGAGCCGGGCACTTCAAAACGCGTTCACTTGCGGGTGCTTGAATTGAAGAGGTATGGGGACGGAAAATATAAATAAAAGATACCGAACCGCGTAATATTATAATTAGAATATTATGCAATTGAGATAACTTCGAGAATGAAATCAATATCTTTTTGGTTATTAAAGTTAAAATTATTTACAAAGATAACGCTTAGCACAGAAACAGATGTGCGCTCCAATTGACCTCGAATTATTTGAAATAACATAAACATTTAATTATAATCGTTTCAATTTTTTATTAAATAACTTAATTACATTTTTATTTAATTTTGTTAAAATTAATCCATAATCCACTTGTTGTAACCAACCTAAAATACCTTTTATCATACTCCAATGGAACTTTCGTTTTCTCATTTACTGTCAGTTCGAAATTATTAAGAATAGACGCCAAAGCTACTTTTACTTGTAGCATAGCAAATCTTTGACCCAAACAAGCTCGCGGTCCCTCTCCAAAAGGAATCCAAGTACCACTCACAATATCATTTTTATTTTCATCTAAAAATCGTTCCGGTTGAAAACTTTCGGGATTCTTCCAATATTTAGGTTCCCTTTGAATTGCGTAAGTTGGAATTATAACAGGTGTTCCAACTTCGATAATTAAGCCTTTTTTGTTGCCATTAATCGGTGGTAATTCGTATGGTGTCGTGCATTTTTTTGTTGAAGTCATTCCAGGGGGGTGTAGCCTTAAAGATTCTATAAATAAACAAAATAATCAATATATATCATCAAAAATTTGTTTTTAATTAATATATTACCACACATAACGCAATGAAGATATTCCATTTCTTTAATTGAATCATAAGAAATCACCCCGTCGTATTTCTTAAGAACACTTTTAATTTCTTCTCTCGCTTTAAGTTGCGTTCTTGGATTAGCGGCTAATTCATATAGAGCAAAACTGATTGTAATCGAGCAAGTTTCGAAACCATCCTCGAAAAATGAAAAGGCGTGAGCTGCGACATCATCGAAAGAGAAGTTATCTTTTCGAATTTGATTAACAATTTCTAACAAATCGTTTCGAACGATTCGGTTCTGTTCGCGGTAGCTTAAAACGGAAGAGACCATCTTCCGGATGTAATCTTCAACTTCATCCGGAACAAATTTAGCCCTAACAACGTGGGCGATTGATGGTAAAAAAGTAAGCAATAACATTTTAATTCCGTGAATTGTCGACGGTTCGCATAAAACTTTCGCGACGTTTCTTAACTCCGAGTTTTCATCGTCGAATGTTTTCCCATCCAAACCAAACCCGCAATTCGCAACGTTATCGATTGTGAATTTTGTGCAAAGCTCCTTCGTTTCAATAGTCGATTTATTCAAATTTATGTTTTTGTTGATGTAATCGACCATTTTTTGCGCAACGTTTTCCATTAGAGGAATCATGGTTCTTAATTTTCCGGATGTAAAACAGACCGTGACTTGATTTCGCGCAACTTTCCATCGATCTCCGGCTAAGAATGCGGGATTTCTTCCTTCTAAAGGATCGTATTTTTCGTCGACTTTGAAATCGTTTTCGTTGAAACTCCCGAAATCTTTAACGGCGATGTTATGGATTAATTCGGCGTCTCTTAATAAAATCCCAGGTTTTCTTATTTTATAAAATCCGACGTAAGGAAAATCTGGAAATTTACTAATAATAAAAAAAAATTAGTCAATAAAATGATGATTTAATGCAATTTCTTACTCGTAAAGATCTGAGTAATCCTGACCAACCGATCTTCGCATTAACACAGAATTCTTTATGTTCCCAAATAAAAAATGGGGTTGCGGGTGGGGCACATTTCTTATTTTCCAATAATTAAATCTACTGTTTTTATAATAATATGTTAAAGCTGAGAGAATAACCAATAAAGTTATTAAGAGAAACATTTCTGATTTAACTTTTGATCAACTCTGAAATTGTTGCAAGAAAGTTACCAATTTATACTTTAACAAAGAAAAAATAAATATGTCGAAATGATATGTTTGATGTATTGCACTGCTAATTTAGCTGCGATTACAACAAAATGAAATTGTATAATCGATATTTCCATTTAAAAGTTTCGAAATGTAAAATAAATCTATTCTAAAATAAAGGTTATCGAAGTTCAAAACAACTAAATTGACGTTATTATTTACATCATGTTTTATTTGTATTACATATTAAATCCGCTTTAATGTCTTTGATAATAATCAATCCAAATTCCACCTTTAGCGGCTAACAAGAAGTGTTTCTCCTCAATCTCCAAAGGTTCTCGAGTTTTTTTATTAACTTTCATTACAAAATTCTTAATCAACGCGACGAGAGCAATTTTAACTTGAAATTGTGCAAATTTCATTCCAACACACATTCTTGGTCCTTCGCCGAACGGGGAATAAGTCCCTTTTATGATATTCGCCCGATTTTCTTCGGAGAATCTCTCCGGGTCGAAAACTTCCGGATTTGGAAAATATTTCGGATCCCGATGAATCCCATACAATGGGATAATAATCGGCGTGTTCTTTTTCACTAAAAGATCGTGTTCGTTGCCGTTTATCGCAGGGAAATAATAATCTTTCGTGCAGGTTTTCATTAAAACGGCTCCAGGAGGATGCAAACGAAGAGATTCTTAAAACGAAATTCTTATGAGACAAAATAATGTTTAAAACGCATTATTTACCTGAAATTATACAATCTAAATAAACCATTTTTTGTAATCCTTCGTAATTTATAGCATTATTATGTTCATTTAAAACTTGATCGATTTCTTTTCGGACTTTATCTTGAATATCTTGATTACGACTTAATTCGTATATGGTATAACTTAAGACTGCTGAACTAGTTTCGAAGCCGTCCAAAAAGATGGTGAATGCGTGTCCGGTGAGTTCATCAAGATTCTTTTCCTGCGAACCGATAATATCCAAAAAATCATTTCGTACTATTTTATTTGTTTTCCTATAATTTAAAGCCGATTTCACAATGTTTCTAAAATACTCATCTGCTTCCGCAGAAATAAATTTTAATCGAAACATTGTCATTAACGATGGAAATAAGATAAAAATAAACGCTAAAAACGTATTAAGCGCACTTTGTTTCATTATGTTTCTACCAAATTTCCGAAATTCCGCATCTTCCTCGATGAAAGAATTCGCCTCGAAACCAAATCCACAACTTGCGATGTTATCGGTTGTAAATTTACACATTAATTCATACGTTTCTAATGTTGTGTAATTTATCGATCGATTTTTAATATATTTCATCATATCATCAGTAACTTTAAGGGTTAAAGGTAAAATCAATTTCAACTAAAAAAAATTAATGTAAAAAAATAAATAAATTGTTATATTTTACCTTTCCCGATGTAAAACAAGCACTTAATTTACTCCTTGTAGCTTTCCATTTAGACCCGGTTTGAAAAAATGGATCGCTACTACCCAAAGGATCCAACGTTTCGTCCAATTTCATAAAATTCTCGTCGAAAGATGAAAAATCTTTGGCTAAAACGTTGTTTATTAATTTCGGGTCGCGAATTAAAATTGATGGAGTGCGCATTTTGAAAAATCCCACGTACGGAAAATCGGGAAAATCGTTGTAAATCTTCGTGTAAATTTGGATGAAATTCTTTTTTAAAAAAACGTTCTCTTTTAAATTCCCGAAGAAAATGTGGGGTTTTGGGTAAGGAATGTTGAGGTTTTTCCAATAATAACTGTTTCTTTTAAACCACGAATATATCAATAAATAAAGAGTTATTAAACTTATAATAAGTAATAAGAACATTTTTTTAGGTTGTGTTTGAAAGAAAGTTCAATTCGAACTGGACAATAAACAGTTTAATAGGAGTATATGAGAGGAATAAAGGTCAATAAGGATAAATTGCTGGTGAGGACTTTTATTAAATAATGGTCATGAATGGGATTGGTAAGATTGTTTATACTGAGAGAGTGAGTTATTTAATAATAAATTTAGAATGAAATCCTTTATTATCATATACGGAGACCCGATTTGGTAGGCTACTGCGACTCATCCTGGTATCTTTCAAGTACATTTAGTTTCCTAACACGTCCTTAACTAACAAAATGTCATGTTCAAGCCTTGTATTTTCAATGCCTATTGGATAAGTCTTCCAGATGGTGCTTTCAACGTAAATAACCACCGAAGTTGATGGTTCTGATACATCCAAGTAAGTTTTAAATATGTCAGTTGTCCACACGGCAACTAAAGCTTCCCATGAAATGCAAATCCAATTCAATGTAGCTTTACCATTATTCTTTCTCTAAAGCAGAACTGAGCCTAGAGCATAACTATTGGTATCAGTTCCCAAGATGTATGGCTTATCGGAATTAACCTGGATTAAGACAGAAGCGGTAGTAAAGAATTCTTTGAGTTTAATGAACGCAACCAACTCATCTGTTCCGAAATGCTTAGGAAGCTTAAGGCGTTAGTGAGGCTAAGCTTAATCTTATATCAACCCAAAAGTGTAAATGCATTGCAAAGTCTCGGCTAAATTTAACACAAAACATGTAGGAAGTTAGTTGAGAAATATTGTATCAACTCAAAATTGCCCTAATATTGCAAAACAGCCATAAACTTATAGTCATCAAAATTGATGAACGTATACCTCATATAACAAATACTATTAACACTTGTCTATTAGAAGCTGTTTTCCCTTCAATATGGAAAAGATCCGTGATACCGGTACCAAAGATACCAAGTCCAAACGAATACTCATGCCCAAGACCCATAAACATTTTGTGTTCCTTATCAAAAGTTTTGGAAACAATAGTTAACAAACAACTGACGGAGTTTCTAAAGGCTGAGCGCATTGTTCCAGTGAATCAGTGTGGTTTCAGGGAAGGACATGAAACTGCTCTGAACAATATAGTGGATGATATAGTCACTGCAACTGAATCCAATGGATTGACTCTTTTGGGGATGTTGGATTTCTCCAGAGTATTCGTTATTCTAAACCAAGACTTGTTAATATCAATTCTCGACCATATCGCGCTTGATTCTGTCTCATAAACTTTTTTCAAAAATTACCTTAAAGGCAGGATTCAATCAGTCAGTATTGATCAGGTGAAGTCGAGTGCTTTGGAGATAAGGTCTGGGGATCGATTCTTGGCCCTACTCTATTTGATATTTACACGATAAATTTCAATAGCTTTGTTGATTTTTGTAGCGTCCGCTATTATGCTGATGACACTCAGATTTATTTGTCCTTTTTTAAAGGCCACTTTGCCTGACATTATTGATGGGGCTCGGGAATATTGCTTAGAATGATCTGACCCAGATCATTCTGTTTGGGCCTCCGAAGATAAAAGAGAAATTTATTGATGGGTTTTATACCATTGAGTAAGTCTGTCAAAATCCTTGGACTGGTCGTGGATGAGGCGGTAAGCTTTGTGGAACACACAACCAGTTGATTGGTCGAGCTTATGGGTCGTTAAAATTGATTACTCTAATCGTTATAGTTTTGACTGGCACACAAAAAAGCTTTTATGCGATTCTTTGGTATTGTCATATTTCAATTACTGTGACAGCAGCAGCTGTGTTTTCCAGGTATCAAGCAAAAGTTCCAAGCTTCAAAACTCGTGCATCCATTTAAGTTTCGGCCTGAGGGAATATAATCTAACTAAGCCTAACTGAACATGAAACCTCGCAGATACATCCAAAAGGTCTACTTGTATTATAGAGTCATCACTGAAGGTACCCCTCCATACCTGCATGATAGGATTAAATTCAGAAAGGGCGTACATAATGTTAATGTTTGCTTCAGGGGTAGACACACCTCCTACCCACCGGACAGTTTTTCAAACGGTGTTTTTCTTATCAGATATACGCCATATGCTATAATTTATCTCGGCACCTGATTGGATTACTCTTGAACCGATTTAGAAGAACATTGAAGTGTAGGGTGATGGGTGGGTGACTATGTGTGCCTGTAACTTTTATCTCTAATTCTTCTATGAGTTTTCATTATTTCCTTGCAATTGGTATTGGTATTCTTTTTTTCTTTGGTTTTTTTTTCTTTACGGTTTTCTCGGTCATCTCGGTGAGAAAAAATTACCGAGATTTGGAAGAGCCATTTATATTCCCAGGAGACTTTAACTCACTCAGCTACACTATTTTCATATAATGAACACACAAAAAGCGTTATCAACTTNTTTAGTTAGGGTGTTCATCAAGTCATCAACTACCAGGCACCATAATGAGTGAGACTAAGGGTAATCTTATATCAACCCAAAAGTGTAAATGTAAAGTCTCTGCTAAATTTAACACAAAACATGTAGGAACTTAGTTGAGAAATATTGTATCAACTCAAAATTGCCCCAATATTGCAAAACAGCCATAAACTTATAGTCATCAAAATTGATGAACGCATACCTCATATAACAAATACTATTAACACTTGTCTATTAGAAGGTGTTTTCCCCTCAATATGGAAAAGATCCATCGTGATACCGGTACAAAAGATACCAAGTCTAAATGAATACTCATGCCCAAGACCCATAAACATTTTGTGTTCCTTATCAAAAGTTTTGGAAACAATAGTTAACAAACAAGTGACGGAGTTTCTAAAGGCTGAGCGCATTATTCCAGTGAATCAGTGTGGTTTCAGGGAAGGACATGAAACTGCTCTGAACAATATAGTGGATGATATAGTCACTGCAACTGAATCCAATAGATTGCATCTTCTGGGGATGTTGGATTTCTCCAGAGTATTGGATATTCTAAACCAAGACTTGTTAATATCAATTCTCGACCTTGATTCTGACGAATTCTTGACGAATTATCGCGCTTGATTCTGTCTCATAAACTTTTTTCAAAAATTACCTTAAAGGCAGGATTCAATCAGTCAGTATTGATCAAGTCGAGTGCTTTGGAGATAAGGTATGGGAATCGATTCTTGGCCCTACTCTATTTGATATTTACACGATAAATTTCAATAGATTTGTTGATTTTTGTAGCGTCCACTATTATGCTGATGATACTCAGATTTATTTCTCCTTTTCTGAAGGCCACTTTGATGAAAGCTTCAATAAGTTTAAACGTGACTTGCCTGACATTATTGATGGGGCTCGGGAATATTACTTCAAGATAAACGGTAATAAGACCCTGATCATTCTGTTTGGGCCCCCGAAGATAAAAGAGAAATTTATTGATGGGTTTTATACCATTGAGTAAGTCTGTCAAAATCCTTGGACTAGTCGTGGATGAGGCGTTAAGATTTATGGAACACACTAACCAGTTGATTGGTCGAGCTCATGGGTCGTTAAAATTGATTTACTCTAATCGTTATAGTCTTGACTGACACACAAAAAAACTTGTATGCGATTCTTTGCTATTGTCATACTTTAATTACTGTGACAGCATATACGGGGCTTTTCCAGGTATCAGGGAAAAATTAAAAGCTTCAAAACTCGTGTATTCATTTAAGTTTCGACCTGAGGAAATATAATCATGTGTCTTTTGGTTTTAAGCAGTTAATTATAGAGTCATCACTGAAAGTACCCCTCCATACCTGCATGATAGGATTAAATTCAGAAAGGGCGTACATAATGTTAATATTTGCTTCAGGGGTAGACACATCTCCTACCCACCGGACAGTTTTTCAAACGGTATTTTTCTTATCAGATATACGCCATATGCTATTTACCTCGGCACCTGATTGGACTACTCTTGAACCGATTTAGAAGAGCATTAAAGTGTTGGGTGATGGGTGGGTGACGGAGAGCTTCTGCGTGTAACTAGCTGTCTATGTGTGTCTCTAACTTTTATCTTTAATTCTTTTATGAGTTTTCATTATTTCCTTGCAATTGGTATTTGTATTCTTTTTTTCTTTGGTTTTTTTTTCTTTACGGTTTTCTCGGTCATCTCGGTGAGAAAAAATCACCGAGAATTGGAAGAGCCATTTATATTCCCAGGAGACTTTAACTCACTCAGCTACACTATTTTCATATAATGAACACACAAAAAGCGTTATCAACTTGATTATGATACCAGAAACAAGGCTGGGAAGAAGTGTCTGTTATACTTGATGGCATACATTGGTCAATGACCACTTCCCAGTGTATGCTTAGCTGTAGATTCCAAATGTAATATAGACAACCAAACTGGAACCCTTGCCCATGATGGGACCAGGAATGTGAAAATTTTGACAGCATTAAATCAAATTTGGAAAAAGGTAAGGTATATAACCGAGTAGTTTTTGTCCACAATAGACAATAGCCAGAGATAGCACCCCACCACACTCCATCACTAGCAAAAATTCAATTGGAGAATACTGAACTCATAACCATAAATGAATTTGAAAACTCAGCTAGTAATAGAAAGGAAACAGTAGTTAGGGCTGATGATATTATTAAAAATTTACCTAAAAGTTATAACGTAGCTCTACTATCAATCTACAATAAAATATTATGTGGTGGTGATATAACAGAGGAATGGAAAATAGTACTAATTGTTCCAATTCTTAAACCCCATAAAAATCCAAACGACGCCAGTAGCTAACTTTCCTATCATGCGTTAAGCTAAGTTTCTACATGCACGGATTACTGGCGCCAGTCGACTGGCGCTAGTTCATTTGCATGTTGAAATAGCAAAAAACCACTGACGCTAATAAATTGGTGCCTCCTATTAAACAAAGTCCAAATGTCCTCCTTGGAACTACAAACATTATTAAGAAAAAAAGGGAAAAAATAGTTGCTGGGTTATGTCGTGGATTGCACGTAGAAATAACCTAGGTGCGTCTAGTACTTTAATTAGAGAATTATTGCATGAAGATCAGCAAGCATTTTTTAATCATTTAACGCATATGAGAGATGCCATTCCAGCTAACGTAAAACTGCAAGCAACTTTAAGATTTTTGGCTTCTGGAGATTCTTCTACATCCTTGCAATATATGTAACGTTTGCCAAAAAGCACAATTTCTAAATTTATATGTGAAGTGCTTTATGGTGAAGTACTTTATGGTATTTAATTGTATATGCACTGTGTATACTTCGTATTTTTGCTTTTGCCGAGGTTTCGTCAAAATTAGGAACTGTTTTCTTCATAATTTCAATTATCCTTCTAACAGCTTCATTTCGTGCTAATCGGTCCTTATATTGTGGAATTTTCTGATTCCACAAACAAGGATATTGTTCACACGTTTCTAGAAATAGTACTGTTTATTCTGATATCCATTTTTTTGGATGGTTTATTAGCGGATTTGTTCATTTTAGTTGGACGAACACGTTAATAGTTACACGTTTTCTTTATAAATACTGTTACTGGCGCCAAAAAGTAGAAGTAGCGTCAACTTTATTCGCGCTATGATTACAGGCACCAATTTATTGGCGCCAGTGGTTTTTTGCTATTTCCATGTAAATGAACTGCCGAAAGTATTCCGTGCATGTGGAAACTTAGCTTTAGGAAAAGCTTCGAGCTCACTTAAATGGTGGTGTGAAAACAAGGAAGTATTTGACAGACATCAAATACTACCAGGCAGCACGCCGTAACAACATCTATGAAAGACATCCGAATGGTTGTTGTAGAAAGGAAATCATTGCAAGCGATCTTTATATTAACGCTAAACTTCAGTATGGGCATTAGTGGTGCAAATGGCCGCATTAAATTGCCCCTCAGCTCTGACATAACCAAAGACACAACATTTTCGGTAGTACGCCTGACACCTACCGACATAAAGTAACATGACCTTGGAGCTATACTAAGGTTCATCAAGGACTTACATTTATCCTAAACACAACACGGCAACAATAATAATAAATAAAATTCGTTTTTGCACTTAAATGGATTTTTATTTAAATTTTTCTCTCAACCGGTTTCGCTATATATTTACAGCATCTTCAGGAGATTATGTCATTTTATTAGAAAAGTGTGCTATAGAATGAGTCATTTGGTATTTCTTTTTATATTTGTACTATTGAACTACACAGAGAATTTTGTTGAATTATGATTGAAGAGGATTAAAAATTGTGTTAAGAATCCTTCAGCAATTCACAATTTACAATTCTTAACACAATTATTAATCCTCTTCAATCATAATTCAACAAAATTCTCTGTGTAGTTCAATAGTACAAATATAAAAAGAAATACCAAATTACTCATTCTATAGGATACTTTTGTAACAAAATGACATAATCTCCTGAAGATGCTGTAAATATATAGCGAAACCGGTTGAGAGAAAAATTTAAATAAAAATCCATTTAAGTGCAAAAACGAATTTTATTTATTAGACATAAAATGGAAAAAAAATCATCAAACAATAATAATAATAATAACCCAAAACTTATTTTGGGTTGATTTTGGTAAAATTTATTAATATTGATTTTGTTGGAACTTATGGTGGCGAAGTTCCGTTTTTGGGTTTGTGATTGAAACCACTGATTTAACTAAATATATTTATTCTTGTGTGGCTTCCCGACAGTGCTATCTTTCTTACAACTTATGTTAATCTGATCCAAATTTAACATTATTCTATCGAACTTGTATTTCCCAACCGACGCGCGACGGTCTTTTCATTTTCAACCAATCAAAATTTAATCACGCAATGAATTGAACCGATAAAATGCACTTGACAACAGGTCCAAGATTGCTGACAAATTAGAAAAATCGATAGTTAATCAAACATATGTTATTCTTTGCGAAATACAAGTTCTTAATAACGCAACGTGAGTTCTTGATCGGCACTTTTTCCGAGTTTGGAATTATGTATTTTAATAAAAAATTTATTTTTTAGCTTTAGCATATTGTAAAGCGGCCGTTATAAGATGTAACATGGATCTGACAACTGTGTTCCCGAATCGCTCTTTCATCATCCAAAATATTTAAAGCTAGAAGAGAGCTTGTGCGTTATTAATAAAAATATCGGATGATTCATTCCTACCTTGTTCTTTACTAAAGAGTTCTTTAAATATTTCGTGATTTTGTTTCTTGCATCAAATGCGTGTTTAAGTTACGTCCGTCAGTGTTGCCGATCATTTGCCGATGCATCCAGAAAAGTTTCTGACACATTCAATGTTAAAATTGTAAAAAACTTCGAAATACGAAAATCACCAACAACGCTAGATAACAGTGAACTAAAGTCCCTAATAATCTAGGGACTTTAACCGTCAATCGATGCATTTGATGTTTCCCAATATGTTCTAGTATTAAAACGCGACACGAGTTTTAAAAAGTTCTACGAGTGTTATACCGATGAAATAATCGAAATCAATAATAATCATTACCGAATGAAACGAGTACCGCGTAGTGAAATGAATTGTAAACAAACTTCGAAATACGAAAGTCACTAAAACTCACTAGAAGTAACTAAATATTTCGCTGTTTTGTCGCTGGATGGCATCATCCGATAACAGTCAATAAAGTCCCTAGATATATCTTTAACAGTCAACTGTCAACCGATTTTTATGACGTGTATCAATATAGTTGCTAAAACTGTTAAATTATTTTTGATTATTACTGATTATTGACTACAGTAATTTAGTAAGTATTGTAAGTATTAAAGAACTGGGCTGAGGCACGGAACTTAGTAGTAATAACTTTATTATTCAACTGTTATCATTTAGTACAAGTAAAACATTAGGTAGAGTCATTAATTTTATAATAATCCAATAAAATATCATGTTTACTCGTCAACATGTAATATCTTTCATCGATTTCAATCGGATTTTTGGTTTTCGGATTCAAACGAACTTCGAAATTGTCCAACAAAGCCACCAAAGCAACTTTAATTTGTGTCATTGCAAATCTTTGACCTACAAAAAAAAAATTATAACATTTGCTTTTCTTGTAGTAATGTGAAAAGTTACCAATACAAACCCTTGGACCTTGTCCAAAAGGAAGATAAGATCCTTTAACGATTTTAACTTGATTTATTTCAGAAAATCTTTCCGGGTCAAATTTTTCGGGGTCCTCAAAATATTTCTTATCCCTTTGAATTGCGTAAATGGGAATTTCAATCGGAGTTTCAACATCGATTTTTAATTGTTCACTGTTTCCGTTGATTGGTGGGAGATAATATGTTTCAGTACAAACTTTCGACAAAGTCATAGCCGGTGGATACAATCGTAGCGTTTCTTGGATAATCCAATCTAAATAATGTAAATCGTTAATAACATCGAAAGTTAATTCTTTGTGTTTTTGTAAGGTTTCTTTAATTATTGTTCTGGCTTTATCTTGAATTTCGAAATTTTTCGATAACTCAAAAAGTGCAAAATTTAAACAAAAAGAACTTGTTTCGATTCCTTCGGAGAAAAGGATGAAAATATGTGCGATAAGGTCTTCTTTTGTGTAATTTGTATCTTTTTCCATTGTTTCCATCATGTTGTTTACAAAATCTTTTCGTGTTATTTTATTTTCTTGTCTATATTTTAATATTTCACTAATTACGTTATTGAAATAGTCTTCAGCTTGTTTTGGGACGAACCTAAAAGAAATAATCAACGATTTTATTTATTATTGTAATTTTTTTACTTCAATCTAAGAATTGATGTTAAAGATGGAAAAATCATCTCTATGAAAACTTTGATTCCATGAATCGTGGACGGTGTCGACCATAATTTTGATATCTTCCTAAAGCTAGCTTCTTCATCGCTAAACGAGTTTCCTTCCAAACCCATCACGCAACTAACTAAGATATCGGTGGTAAATTTAGAAGTTAATTCTTTAGTTTCAATCGAGTTTTTATTTGATTTTGTGTTGTTAATAAAATTAATCAAATCGTTGGAAACTTTCTGCATTAATGGAAACATTGTTTTTAACTTCACCGGGGTAAAATTTGGGTTTAAATAAGATCTTTGTATCTTCCAACGTTGTCCTTTTTGGAAAAAAGGATGTTTACTGAAATAAGGATCAAGATTTTCATCAATTTTCCAAGGATTATCCATAAAATTATTAAAATCTTTTGTGGTGATGTTATGGATTATTTCGGGATCTCTTAAAATAATTCCCGGTTTTCTTATTTTGTAAAATCCAACGTAAGGATGATTTGGAAATTGACTGAAAGTATTCAAAATTAATAACAAATAAAAAAATAAATAATTAATTACTAATAAATATCCGCATGTTCTTGGCCGATAGATTTTTTTAACAAAATCGAATTGTTTAAATTACCAAAAATAATATGCGGTTGTGGATAAGGAACATTTCGTTTCTTCCAATACAAAAAATTATTTCTTAAATAGAAATAAATCAACCCAAAAATGAATAATAAAAAAATAACAAACATCTTCACAACATCGCTTATAACTGACTAACGTTGATTATACTTGATAATTTTTATGAACTGCGCGAGGTCATATTTATTACTCCCCCCCAATCATTTACTCTTTGATTAAATAATTCCGTTCAACTACTCCAACCTTTCTAACATTAACGAAAAAAAATGCAAGATATTTCGCTGGGTTCTAATTGAAACGATAAATCCCTCGCGGAGGGGTGTCTAAGGACCTGGTGCACTTTTTTCCGTCTCCCATTTCAATTTTCTTTATAAATCGCGCTGCTTAGAAGAATAAATGCTCAATTACGGTCAAGTAGGCGAGCACGAAAGAAAGATAACGCGTAAAGAATCGCCTACTATTTATTCTCCGTTTTAACATCCTATCATAATCGTTGTTGAAAAGGAAAGAAAGAAAAATGTTACAAATTTTCTATTTTAATTAATTTTAAAAGTTTTTAAAGAGATAAAGTATCCTACAAAAGTAATAATAATAATATTAAAGATGTAATAATAGTTTGATGTAAATTGATAATTATCAGGTCGACTTTAGCAAAGACTTCGACAAGCTGCATCATGGCCAAACTAGATAAGTTTAGCCTGATGTCCAATCTTCTTTCGTGGGTAGCAACATACATTTCAGATAGATACCAAGCTGTAAAAATTAATAATTTTGTATCTAATTTTACCTTAGTTACCTCTGATGTGCCTCAGGGTAATCACTTGGGATCTTATTTTTAGCTTATATTAATGATATGTATGAATGCTTCCACCATAGTGCTTTTCTGCTTTACGCTAATGATTGTAAAGTATTCTCAAAGGTTCAATCAACTTCGGACTGTGTAAGGTTACCAATTGATCCAGACAGATTACAAATATATTGTCGTAGTCACAACATATTTAGCACCGAACAACACGGTTACCGAAAGCTAAGATCGACATCATCAGCTGTTACGGGTCCTTTGGAACTGATAGCAAATGCGTTCAACAAAAAGGAAGAAGCGCTATTTAAATAATCGTTTATTGTGCAAAGCTACAAATAAGCAAAAAATATCATAGCAGTTTAACAACAATGCATACATTAAATACAAGTTATTAGAACGAAAATAAGGAAAGCTACTAACTATTCGCTTCGCACAACCGCCGGGCGACAATTCAGGAACAACGACCTGATCTTCCATTGTCACCCTGATACAAAAGAAAGAGAAAAAAAAATAAAGTATACAAAAATAAAAAGATTTAATAATACTAATAAAACTAACATTAATTCACATTCCGATTACTTAAATCAATCTACATCAGACACAATTAAGAGAAGAGAAAAAAGAAAAATGCGCATATATAAATTTTACAGACTTAATATAAAGATATCAAAAATTAAACGAAAACAAGAAAAATGAAAATAGAAAAAGCAAAATCAAATATGCTAGACCGTCAAATAACCAACTAGTGCTACCAACTGAAAGCGTCGCCCAATACATTCAAATATCGTCCCTGACTGATAATCAAAGTCTGACTCTCGAGTAGCCCCGCATAAAGTGCCATTCGAAACCGCGCCACATCAGCAATCCTAAGCTCAATAGGCAACTCATTATATGATTTGTATATATGGTAGGAAAATGAACGTTTAAACATTGAAGTTCTGTGATACGGGGGATAAATGTCGTATCTTCCTCTTGTATCACGAGTCCGAACCAAACAGTTAAAACGAATTTTATTAAATAAATACTCAGGAGTTTCAGAGTTAATTAATTTATTATAAAATAGCAGCGTGTGAAGTTGTCTTCTATTACCCATTGACAACCACCCTGCTTCAGTTAGTTTATGAGTTATGGAATCGTATTTACGGATATTATAAATAAATCTTAAACAGTTATTTTGATCTACTTGAATGCGTTTAGCATCAAGAGTACCAATCGCAGGGTGATACACTGGAACCAAGTAATTAAATTGTGACAACACAAGTGCTTCACATAGTCTCCTTCTTAAGCGAGTAGGAAGACACGAGCGGTGAGGATATATTATCCGCAGGCCCATATATGCATTTTTTATGTACCGGCTAACTTGAGTGCCATATCTAAAATCATTGGACAAAGAAAGACCCAAACTCTTAGCCTCCTCGACAATGGGGAGGGTACATCCATCCATGTTAATGTTTATTAGATTTTTCAACTCCACACAGACACGCCGATTGCTGAACAGCACAATCGCAGATTTAGCTGGATTCAATTTCAACTGATGCATATTTGATGTTACCCACAGGGTTTGGAGGTCCAGATTGATTTTCTCTTGAGCAGCAATATATTCCTCAGGTTTGAAAGAGTAATACAGCTGAGTATCATCAGCATACATATGAAACTTATTAAATTTAATGCCTTTAAAAATAAGTGAAGTGTATAAGGTATACAAGAGTGGCGCGATTATTGAACCCTGTGGGACACCATGCACCACCAGTCTAGGAGCAGACAGCACATTATCAATTTGAACAGCTTGGCAACGATCATTTAGGTAACCAGCAAGGAGTTGCCGTCCAGACTTACTCAGACCAAAGTATTTTAAAATGTTTAACAACATTATGTGGTTAACCGTATCAAACGCCTTACTATAATCCAACAGCGTCATTATTGTAATATCGCCCCTATCTGTAGCCTCCATAATGTCGTCCGTAACAGCCAACATCGCCGTCGTACAACTATGCCCCTCCCTAAATCCAGACTGAGTAGGTGGAAGGATATCATATAGATTGGCAAATTGTGACAGTTGATTCTGGATCACTCTCTCAAAGACCTTACAAAGAAATGGGAGGATGCTAATAGGCCGGAGGTCATTAAAAGACGAAGGTTTTGAAACTTTAGGTATAGGTTTGACTATTGCACATTTCCAACAGTCTGGAACTGTGTTCTCCATCAAACATGAGTTGATAATATGCGTAACATAAGGCAACATCGTAGGGCAGCACAGCTTTATCATCTGGGAACTTAAACCGTCAGAACCCGCTGAAGACGATTTAGAGTTATAGATAATATCTTTTATAGCGTCAACGGTAACCGGTAAAAATTCAAAGTTACTGTCTGGAAAAGGAGAACAATCATACATGTCCACATCATACTCAACATTGCGAAAACTGTTAGCCACATCTGCTACCCCGTCAATGAAAAAGTTGTTAAGTTCAGCAACCTGCTTCAGACAGCAAGGCAAGTCAACGTGCTTCCTCCGTTTTACGGTTAAGGACTCGAGACGATGCCACACGTTTTTATTGGTAACGTTATTAGTTACAAAATCAAAGTATGCTCGTTTTTCTGCTGTTACCGCACGGGAAGTCAAATTTCGTAAATCTTTGTAATACTCCCAGGTACCGCTACTACCGGTTTGTTTGAATTTTTTCTTAGCAGCGTCTCGAAGTTTCATCATTAATTTTAAATTTTCAGTTAACCAAGGAGGGTTAATTTTAGAGAAAGTACACTTTTTTATAGGTGCATGTTGGTCAAACAGCGATATGATCTCACTATTAAAATAATTCACCTTCTCATTAACAGAATTCATTCTCAATAAGGTTTCAAAAGGAACAAGATGCAGGTCACTAGTAAATTGCTCTAGATTAATATGCGTAATGCTACGAAGGTAACGGACAGTCGGCACGTCACGATTAAAGAGTACTACGATATTATGCCGAGAGTACTACGGTATAAGGGGTACTTCACTTTCGGTCTTCAAGTGGTTTACTGGAAAGGAAGATTCTCGGCAAGAAAACAGATACGGCAGGGAGTGCCACAGGGATCTGTTCTGGGCCCGGTTTTGTTCCTGATCTAGATCAATGACTTACCACAAAACTTGACGGCTGATTTGACGTGCCTTTTCGCTGATGATACTTCGCTGTTGGTGACATCTAGAGTCAGACAGGAACTCCTCGAAAGGTCCGAAGAAGTCGAGCTAGAAGCGAAAGAGTGGTTCACCAGCAATAAGCTAAGACTGAATGAAAAAAAGACGCAATCACTTATACTCACCAATAGAGAGCCAGATACGGGATATACGATTAAATTCCTTGGTCTTAACATAGATTCCCACCTGAAATGGTATTCACATATAGAATACGCTACAAAAAAGTTAGCCACAGCAACCTACCTCATCAGAAGAATAAGGATTGTCTCAACGCATGAAGCTGCTAGAACCGCCTACTTCAGCCACTTTAATTCCATACTTCAATTTGGCATCGAGGTGTGGGGATTATCGCCTCAAACTTCCAAGCTCTTAATCCAGCAAAAGGAAGTCCTTAGAGCTTTGGCGTATGCAGGACAGCGAGTTAGCTACAGAAGCGTCTACATACTGGCGGCAGTTACCCTTCTGCATAAGAACAAAATGAGATATTCATCTCATAGTGATATCCACCAACATGACACTAGTCAGAAGAACAAGATCGTCATTCCACCGCACCGCATCAAAAGAGCACAACATTTCTGAGTTGCCCATCTTCAGAGGAAAAGTGAAGCGATTGTTACTACAATACTCCTTCTACTCAATAAAGGAATACTCAAATTGCATTTTTTATTGAATATTATTATTATTGTCTTGTATTGTTGACTATTGTACGCACATTTCTTTGCCACAATTAAACATTATTATTATTGCACAAACAATTTTCTTTACTTAAATTATAACAAATGCAATCAAATAGCATTCAGCAGAAAAACCGGGCCATTTGAAAAAAACTGTCGGAGGTGAAGGATCTTGGCGTTGTCCTGGATTCATAATTACTTTTCAATTACCATGTTGAGGAGTTACTCCGTAAAGCTAACAGGCGCTTAGGATTTATCAGTACTGATCAATATTGAGGTCTTATATTTAATCTAGAGTGCGTATGTGGTGGTGGTGGTGGGGGTAATCAGAAAGTCAGGCATGTTGGATGTACCAACCTGAACTTAGCTATAGTTTCAAGTCTCTATTGTACCTACAAATCTTACAAGTATAACCCCACAATTCTCATAAACATATTGTTATTTTTATTAAAATTTTATTTTTGTTGAAGGTTTTCGAATTCTTTTTGTTTTACATATATTTTTATAATTTGGTAGCTTGGAAGATTATTTACAACAGCCCATAAAATGTTTCTGGTTATTTAATTTGAAATTAATAATGGAAGTTCAAGTAAAGTTATTATTAAGGAATGTTCAGTTCTTTTAAAATAAACTAACAATTATTTATAAGCAAAAGGTTAACGTGATCAATTGGAATTGTTTTAAATATTTTCTTCTTAGTTTATGTTAATTATAAGGGTTATTGTGAAAAATTATTAAGTTCTTTTAAAATATTATATAATTAATAATTATTTATCAATAAAAAATTAACATGTTTTGTGTTGGTTATTATTTTTTGTCTTTCCAGTTTATAGTAATGTAAATTCTTGCATAAGTATATATAAGAATTTCGAATTTCCCGCTAAGTTGGTACATCTAACATGGCGACCTTTCTGGCTTCATTTTAGGCGTGGTGGGGACAACAGCATACGCACTCTAGATTATATATAAGACCTCAATGCTGATCAACCTTTTACTGATCTTCATTGCATTAAAACTTTATTCATGGTTTACGTTAACAGTGTTCTTGATTAGATACGCTTCGGTTGTCTGGAACCCTGTGTATACTACCAATGTTGACCGCATTGAGGCTGTACAGAGAAGATTTTTACGATACTTGGCTCACAAGTTTACCCTACTATACAGCACATACGAGCAAAGATGTAGAGTGTTTGGTTTGCGATTATTGCAGGGACGTCGAGTGGCCTCTGATGTGTTATTTCTGTATAAATTGATCAGTGGATCGATTGACTCGCTCGAGCTTGTGGTACAAATTGCATTTGCTGTTTCGAATTATCCCACACGAGATCAATGTTTGTTTCGACTATCCGCTTTCTCAACAAACTCGTCGCTGCCGCGAATGATGTCAACTTACAATCGTCACTGTTCAAACTATAACATTTTTACTTTATTAATTTATTTTATTAACTAAATTTATTAATGTCAACTGCGTAGTTTTCTTTTGCTTTTTGTATTATAGTCTTTTGTACTATTTAGTGGATACTATTATGGGATCTCCTTATCTGTATCCCAAACAGTTAAAAGAAACAAATTAATTGGGTTGGGTTGGCAAGTTAGAACAAGACATCGGAAGCCAAAAAGTAACTTGGACAGGAAATAGGAAAAAGATGCAGAAGATTAGAAAGAAACTGTAAAAGAAAGAAATAAATTTGGCAGAAAAATGTAGTGCTGAGAAGTGATTGACATAGAGCGGAGGGGAGGCCGTAGAAATAGACTGGTGATAGACCAAAGATGCTGAATACGGAGGAAATTGAGTAAGCTAGAAGCAGACTGTGGAAGCCAAAAATGGAGAGAGGGAAGAAGAAAAAGATGAAGCACGGAGAGGAAGAAGACTGGAAAGAAACTGTAATTTAACAGAAAAGTGTAGTACTGAAATGAGACTGGTATTATATTTACATTTACATAAATTAGGGGAGACAAACTGCGACCCAAAAATCAAGAATCTGATACGAACAGCAGTGACATAACCGTCTCCTCATCCTCCGAACATAGTTGGCATTCAAAATCGTCGGCTAGACAAGTATGACAGTGGCAACGTTAATAAACAACTTCATTCAACTCATTCTAGAAGAACTGGTACATAGTAGGTGAAGTCTCCTTCAGCCCTGCTGAGCAGTGTATTTAATGTTCTCTTACAATCATTAACTAGAGCCGACACCGGTTTCACTGCCAGCAGCGCTTGAGCGGCTTGACTGTCTGAGAAAAATCGTACTGTCATATTCTTCATCCCTCTCTCAAGAAGGATTTTAGCACCCATGTCAATAGCAAATACTTCCGCCTAGAATCATCTTCAGAGCATTTTATTGCTAAAAGATTTTACAAAGAAAAACGTAAGTGAAGCAACCATATTTAAAAAGCAAAAAGATGGTCGTGCGTCTTGCGTCTGCTTGTTCCACGTTTTATTTTTAAGTTTTTCGACTTTTTAATTAATAGGTATTAATATTTTAATATTTAATGTTAATATTTTTAACATGTTTTTGATCAATTTAATGTTGACGAATTTTGAGATTTTACGCCACTTCGAGTTACAAGTAAGTTATATTTTTTGCTTTTTAAATATGGTTGCTTTTCACTTACGTTTTTCTTTGTAAAATCTTTTAACAGTAAAATGCTCTGAAGAAGATTGTAACCAACAATCGAAATATTAGCTATTTTAAAAAGTTGTTTTACTTTTAATCCTGCTGACCGAAAATGCGATTAATTAATTTTTTAATTGCTGAAAGGGGATCACTGGGGCCTAAGTGCGCGTAAAAATTACGCACTTCCGCAATTCCTGTACGCATACATACATACATACAATTGCTGCTCACGTTGCGGTCAATGATACTTCTTGCTGTAATACTTATAGTCATGGGGTTTTATGAAGAAGTTACGAGAAATCATGGTGTTCGAGACACGATAACCTTGAAGAAATGGACATGTCTTAACATCAAGCTGGCTAAATTGAAGAATCGTCTCACATTTTTTATCAAATGCAGAAGAAATGGACTCATTCCTACTCATATAGGTAACAACACGAGGAATTGGGTCAATTTGCTGGATACCAATACGTTCAACTTCATTAGGAAGATAGAACACATTAGGAGCAGGTGGGCAGCAAGTACTCTTAATTTAGAAATTAAAATCACTAGTGATAATTTAAAACAGATTGCAGTCTCATCGAATTTGTCTGATCTTGCTAGAGAGAAAAGAGAAAAGAATAACTCAATCCTTGATCCTTAACTCAATACTTTTGCCAAAAATACATAACCCTTAAGGCCGATCATATCATCGATTGGTGCGGCATCATACGCCTTGTCAGGTCACATTGCTACATTTTTGGGTTCAACTTTTAACAATAGAACTAACTACAACACTACCAACACCTTTCAATTTGTGGATGTATTTAGGGGCTATAATCTTCCTCAGGATCACATTTTAATATCTTTAGATGTTGTTAGCCTTTTTACTGTCATTCCGTTGGAATTGGTTGACAGGATTGTGAAGGAAAAATGGCATTTAATTGCTGACCATTGCTCATGGGACAAACACACCTTTTTGTTTGGCTTGAAACTTATTTTTGATACTTCAATTTTCATCTTCGATAATGTAATTTACCATCAAATAGACGGCACCCCTCTGGGCTCTAAAATATAGCCGGTTCTAGCTCTGATGGTGATGGATTTCGCGTTGGATGAGATGTTAGTTAATAACAATTCGGGGTTTCGCATCGGTTTTATCAAAAAGTATGTTGATGATTTGATCATTGGAGTACATAAAGGTGATATAGATTTAACGTTAAATTTGTTTAACAGTTTTCATCCGAGCATTCAGTTCACAATTGAGATCGAAAAAGACAACTGTATTTCGTTCCTAGACATGAAAATGATAAGAAATGAAAATAACATCATTCAATTTGACTGGTTTGTCAAACCAACGTACTCGGGACGCTATTTGAATTATTTGTCAAGTCACAATTTAAAACATAAAATTTCCACCGTTCTTGGCATGAAACACAGAGTTTCAAATATCTGTGATAATCAGTTTTTACAAAAAAATCTCAATTTTCTTAGAACAAATTTTGTCAACAGACTTTTGTTTTCAACGTATTCACATAATAATATCAACCAAATCAATTTAACTGGTCCTGAATTAATTAATACAGAGCGTTTCGCTTATAAAAAGCTTCCATACATAGGAAGGTTAAGCGACCAGTTAAAGAAAACGTTGAAATGTATTGATAACATAAGGATCATTGACTGTTGTGATAACAAATTAGGAAACCATTTTACTAAACTTAAGGATAGTACTGATTATAATTTTAGGTCCAACTTGATTTATTGTGTTTCATGCAAGGGTTGTGATGGAAAGTATGTTGGTCAGACCAATCAGTGGTTGAAGTGTAAAATCTCAAAACATGCAAGTGATTGTAAGCTAGAAAAGTCTAGTAATGCTTTATCCCAACACGTTTTGGAGTGCGGACATGAATTTGATTTTCAGGATGTAAAAATCTTGGATTCAGAAAGTAATTATTATAACAGGTTGTTCTTGGAGATGGTACATATCAATTATACACAGAATACTGTAAATTTTAAAACAGATACTCAAAACCTTAGCAACATTTATGCTTATTTGTTTGCCTTA